GCTGGGACGTGTCGGGGTGCCCTGGGGAGCCCCCGTGTTCCCCCCACTCACCCTGGAGGCCATCAGCTGCCCCAGCCCAGGCGGGAAGGTGATGGAGGCGAGGAGCAGCACCACCAGCACCGTGTAGACGGGCTTGCTGCAGGGGGGGGGAGAGGTGGGGCTGGGGGACGTGGGGACAGACGGACGGACGGGGTGGGTGGGCAGGGTGTGTGGGGTGGACCCATGGACAAATGGGGTGCGTGGTGGGGGGGACCTACAGACACCCAAGGAGCACGGGGTGGGTGGGCAGGGGGGACACAGGGATGCCCAGGGTGCATGGGGAGGACAGAGGGACATGTAGGGTGCACCGGGTGGACACACAGACAGCCAGGGTGCACGGGGTGGATGTATAGGGTGCACGGGGTGGACATATGGACATGCAGGGTGCATGGGGCGGACACACGGACAACCAAGGTGCATGGGTTGGACACCCAGGGAGTATAGGGTGGATGCACAGGGTGTGTGGGATGGACCGATGGACACCCAGGGACCATGGGGTGCACACACAGGGTGTGTGGGATGGACTCACGGACACCCAGGGACCATGGGGTGCTGGGGTGGGTGGGCAGGGGGGACACAGGGATGCCCAGGGTGCATGGGGAGGACATAGGGACATGTAGGGTGCACCAGGCGGACACACGACGGGGTGGGTGGGCAGGGGGGACACAGGGATGCCCAGGGTGCATGGGGAGGACAGAGGGACATGTAGGGTGCACCGGGTGGACACACAGACAGCCAGGGTGCACGGGGTGGATGTATAGGGTGCACGGGGTGGACATATGGACATGCAGGGTGCATGGGGCGGACACACGGACAACCAAGGTGCATGGGTTGGACACCCAGGGAGTATAGGGTGGATGCACAGGGTGTGTGGGATGGACTGATGGACACGCAGGGACCCATGGGGTGCACACACACGTGTGGGATGGACTGATGGACACGCAGGGACCCATGGGGTGCACACACACGTGTGGGATGGACTGATGGACACGCAGGGACCCATGGGGTGCACACACACGTGTGGGATGGACTGATGGACACGCAGGGACCCATGGGGGGCACACACGTGTGTGGGATGGACACATGGACACCCAGGGACCATGGGGTACACACACAGGGTGTGTGGGATGGACTGACGGACACGCAGGGACCATGGGGTGCACACACAACGTGTGTGGGATGGACTCACGGACACACAGGGACCATGGGGTGCACACACAACATGTGTGGGATGGACTGACGGACATGGACACCCAGGGACCATGGGGTGCACACACACATGTGTGGGATGGACTCACGGACACACAGGGACCATGGGGTGCACACACAACGTGTGTGGGATGGACGCATGGACACGCGGGGATCATGGGGTGTACACACAGGGTGTGTGGGATAGACGGACGGACACCCAGGGACCATGGGATGCAAACAACGTGTGTGGGATGGACTCACGGACACGCAGGGACCATGGGGTGCACACACAGGGTGTGTGGGATGGACACACGGACACGCAGGGACCATGGGGTGCACACACAGGGTGTGTGGGATGGACACACGGACACGCAGGGACCATGGGGTGCACACACAGGGTGTGTGGGATGGACACACGGACACGCAGGGACCATGGGGTGCACACACAGGGTGTGTGGGATGGACACACGGACACGCAGGGACCATGGGGTGCACACACAGGGTGTGTGGGATGGACACACGGACACGCAGGGACCATGGGGTGCACACACAGGGTGTGTGGGATGGACACACGGACACGCAGGGACCATGGGGTGCACACACAACGTGTGTGGGATGGACTCACGGACACGCAGGGACCATGGGGTGCACACACAACGTGTGTGGGATGGACTCACGGACACCCAGGGACCATGGGGTGCACACACAACGTGTGTGGGATGGACCGACGGACACCCAGGGACCATGGGGTGCACACACACGTGTGGGATGGACTGACGGACACACAGGGACCATGGGGTGCACACACAACATGTGTGGGATGGACTGACGGACATGCAGGGACCATGGGGTGCACACACAACGTGTGTGGGATGGACTCACGGACACGCAGGGACCATGGGGTGCACACACAACGTGTGTGGGATGGACTCACGGACACGCAGGGACCATGGGGTGCACACACAGGGTGTGTGGGATGGACCGACGGACACACAGGGACCACAGGGCACGCAGGGTGCATGGAGGAGGGGACACACGGACACCCCAGGGTGCATGGGACAGACGCATGGCCACGCGAGGCGCAGACAGACAGACAGACGGGCGGTACGGACTCAGTGGCCAGCAGCTTGGCTGTGAGCCGGTTCTCCTTGACGGCCGCCAGCAGCCAGCGTTGGCAGAAGAGGTAGGCGCAGGCCACAAGCCCACAGACGGCCCTGCAGAGGAGAGGGCAGGGTACAGGCAGGGCACAGGCAGGGGTACAGGCAGGGGTACAGGCAGGGCACGGGCAGGGGTACAGGCAGGAGTAAGGGCAGGGCCCTCCTTACCCTAAAATTGCAAAAAAGAAGGTCTCCAGGAGGTCAAAAGGGAAATCAATCTTGAGGTCGCTCTTAAAAACAGCAGCGATGGTTTCTGGTGGGGGAAAGCAGTAGACTTTGTAGAGAGGTAGAGCAGTAGACACTGTAGAGAGGTTGGTGCTGGTCTCTTCTCACAGGTAATTAGTGACAGAACGAGAGGGAACGGCTTCAAGCTCCAACAGGGTGGGTTTAGATTGAACATTAGGAAAGAATTTTTCACCGAAAGAGTGGTCGGGCATTGGAACAGGCTGCCCAGGGAGGGGGTGGAGTCCCCATCCCTGGCTGTGTTGAAGGGCCGTTTAGATGCAGTGCTGAGGGACATGGTGTAGGGGAGGACTTTGTAGAGTAGGGGAGATGGTTGGACTCGATGATCCCAAGGGTCTCTTCCAACCTAGACCATTCTATGATTCATTCTATGATTCTATGAAATGAGTGCATGGTTTTGGGGGTGGGAACCCCAAAAATTCTATGCAGCCCTCCCGTCCCCCCAATCCCGAGAGGAAGGGGAAGAAGGGGGGGTTGCATCCTGCCCGCCCTGCCTTGCCTTGTTCGCTGTTGAAGACGGCGAGGAGGCGAAACATGAAGGCGCCGCAAGTGGCGGCGAAAAAGCCGCGCCAGTAATCCCGCACGGCGAAGTGGGAGGACATCACCTCGATGCTGAAAAGCACCCCTGGGAAAATGGGGAGGGGGGGACACAACAGACAGTTAGGGGGGTTTTGGGGGGGTCCTCAGGGTAGGACAGGGGGGAATTCCTCACCGCTGATGGGTGCCCCAAAAACCGTGGCCACCCCAACGGCTTGTGCTGCCACCAGCATCTCGTTCTGCTTGAACTTGTTCTGCGAGGAGAGGGGGCGTGTAAAATGAAATCCCCCCTAACTTGGGGTGGAGAATACACCCCCCTCTTCATTTTTTTGGGGGGAGAAGCACCCCCACCTCATACTCCCTAGTGACTGAAGTCCGCATCTTCCCCAGATACGCCGCAGCCATGGCGGAGAGGTGGACGAAGGGACCCTGGGTGACAAGGAGGGGACACACAGGGCTGAGTGTGTCCCCCCCACCAACACCACCACCAACCCAAACTAGTGGGGACACTGGGAACTGGCACGGGGGAGAGATTCCTCACCACTTTGCCCAGGAAAACGGTGCTGCCACACATCAGGGTGCAGGTCAACCCCACCACCTTGGCTCCGAAGTTCTGGATGGCCAGGTAGTCCTCCAGCACCACACCCGTCAGGATGGTCTTCAGCTCCGGGATGCCAGACCCTGGAAAGGGGGGGGTATACAAAATTTTAGGGGTTCCCCCCCTACTGGGTGAGGAGTTTGGGGGAGTTGGGAATGTTGGGGTGCAGCCAGCTCACCTCCTGAGTGTGGGGTGATGCTTTGGGAGAAGCCGGTGGAGAAGGCTGCCAGTGCCATGGGGTACATGGTCCACGAGAGGTACTTGAGCACCAAGATGTCACCAACTTCTTGGTAAAGCCAGCGGTGGGCTGGAGAAGAAGCATCAGGAAGGGAGATGCCCCCCCCTCTCAAAAAGATACCCCCCCACCCTTGGTGAACCCCCAAACACCAGCTGAAGCCCCCCGCGGGAGCCCCTTGGTTACCCTCGAAGAGCCTGAAGACAAGAAGGTCCATCATGAAGCTGATGGTGGCCATGAGGACCCCCAGGACGAAGAGGAAATACCAATCCTCCCCAACACGGAAAAGCTGCCGCTTCACCCATTCCAAGCACCCTGCAGGGAGTGGGGGGGGACAACAGGGTGATGACCCCCCCAAAAATCACCCCTATACCCCAGGGTCCCCCCCACTTTGGGTGGGGGTCTCACCTCGGAGCCTCCTCCGGGCTTTGGGGCAGGGTCTCCAGCTCTGCTCTGACACCAGCACCCTCTCCTCCTCCTGCAGCCCCCCAGGGACAGGGCGCTCCATCCCGAGGATGTGCTGGGGGGCAGGACCCCCCCCTTTTTTCAGCACCCCCTCACCGGTCCTCCCGCCTCAGCCTCCACCGCCAGACTGAGTTTGCAAACGAGCTCATTAAAAACGACCTTGACGAAGCCAACGGACCCGCTCGGGCCGGAGCGAGCCGGGTTTCCCCCCCCCTCCTCCACCTCCCGCTACCTCCAAGCTCCCAATCCTCGAATACAACCCAGGACAGGGAGTATTTAATAACTAATTTAATTAATTCTCATTATTATTCCTTAATAATAGGCAGGAACGCCGGCATCGCATTCCACGGCGTTAAGCGGGGGGGGGGGGACGGAGAGGGGAAAAATTTCCACCGTCTCCGTCGCAAGACCTAAATTTAGCCCGTTTTACGAGAGGTCTGGCAGGCGGCCGGGAGCCTTAACGAGGCTTTAAAAAGCTCGTCAAGCTGCCCCCCCCCGAAATAACAGGTCCCGCTTCGCCTTGGCGAGGAGGAGAACCAGGAAGGGGGGGGACACACTTTGCTTTTCCTCCCCAGCCGGGAGCTGGGGGTCGGAGGTGAGGGGGGAAGAGGTGGAAGAAAGGGAAATCCTCGGCTGTTTTCCCATTGGAGCGCAGCTTTCCCCGGCCGACGTCGCCCACCGACACCATGGAGCTTTTTGGGAGCTTCGTCCGGCCCCGTGGAGAGACTTTGGGGTTCCCAGGTGAGGTTTTTTTTGGGGGGGGGAAGAGGGGGTGTCACCCCGTTTTTAGGGCTGGGATTCCTCCTCTTCCCCTATGCCGGCACATCCCTGTCCTGGAGGGTTTGGCCAAGAGTTGGGAGTGGTGGGAGACTGGAGACTCTCTGGTGGAGAACCAGGGAGGGGGGGGGACACACTTTGCTTTTCCTCCCCGGCGGGAGCTGGGGGTCGGAGGTGAGGGGGGAAGAGGTGGAAGAAAGGGAAATCCTCGGCTGTTTTCCCATCGGAGCGCAGCTTTCCCCGGCCGACGTCGCCCACCGACACCATGGAGCTTTTTGGGAGCTTCGTCCGGCCCCGTGGAGAGACTTTGGGGTTCCCAGGTGAGGTTTTTTTTGGGGGGGGGAAGAGGGGGTGTCACCCCGTTTTTAGGGCTGGGATTCCTCCTCTTCCCCTATGCCGGCACATCCCTGTCCTGGAGGGTTTGGCCAAGAGTTGGGAGTGGTGGGAGACTGGAGACTCTCTGGTAGGAGTTTGGGGGGACCCCCGCTGAACCACGGCTGTGACCCCCCCCATCTCTCCGGCAGCTCGGCCCGGCAACACCGGGACGGTGAAGACCTTGGGCAACACCTATCAGTTCACGGTGGACGTCTGTGATTTCGCCCCCGAAGACATCATCGTCACCACTTCCAACAACCAAATCGAGGTGCACGCCGAGAAGGTGGGTGCTCACCCCCAAAAATCCTCAACCAGGGGACCCCCCAACTCCCCCACAGCCCCGGCCATAACTGGGGTTTAATTCACCATTTCCTCATCTTTTCGCCCCGCATTCCGCAGGAGCAAAGCTCACAACACCCAACAAACTCATGCTCTGTAATCATCCCTCTTCCAGGGGGTGGGAACCGAAAAAAAGCACCTTTGTCATCCCCCTCCCCCCCCCGCCAATGCCACCCACATCCTGCCTGTCCCCTCGGGGAGATAAATATTAACACCACACACAAGGCGTGACTGGCAGCCTCACCCAAGGGCAGGGAACAACGCACCTTCATCCTGCCTGCACCTTAAAATCGCCCATTTTTCACCCTTTTTTTTTTTTTTTTTCCCCCCAGCTGGCTCCAGACGGCACCGTCATGAACACCTTCACCCACAAATGCCAACTGCCCGAGGACGTGGACCCCACGTCGGTGTCGTCCTCGCTGGGGGACGATGGCACGTTGACCATCCGGGCTCAGCGACAGCCCGCCAAGCACACCGAACACGTCCAGCAAACCTACCGGACTGAGATCAAGATCTGAGGGGTCCGGGGTGTGTGTGTGTGTGTGTGTGTCCCTTTTCCTCCCCTTCCTCGTTAATTCTTTGGGTGATTTGGGAAGGAGGTGGGACGCGGGGTTAGGGGACGGGAATGCTCCCCCCTCAGGGTCAGACCCGTGCCAAGGGGCTGGCGTGGAGAGATGCATCCCGTCACCCACCGGAGAAATTCCAGAGGGGAGTCCTGGCTCCGGTGGTATTTAGCCAGTGAGGGTTGATGGGGAAGATCCGGCGTAACAAGAGCCCCGCTGGAGCGAGGTTCCCTTCCCCGTCCCTCCGCCGCAGCTTGTCTCTGTATATACAGCTTGTGATAAATTATTGAGAACGCCTGACTGCTGCCTCTGCCGTTTTTTAATGTTTTCTCGATGCTTTTCCCCCAAAAAGGGCTGCAGGTTCAGCCCGGACAGGTGTTTTGGTAAAGGGTACCATGAGCGATTCCTCCTTCCCGACAAAAAACACGGGTGAGGAGCCACCCTGGCTCCCCTCCGCTGCCCACGGCCCCGTTTATTTCCAGCCCGGGGTGACTCATTTCTTCCCCGCCGCTCTATTTCTGAGGCATTCCCTCAGCTGTTCGGCCGCTGGCCCACCTGGAAGGTCACCAAATCTTCCTCCTCCTCCCCTCGCCCACCAGCACCCATCGCCCTCGGGGAAGCCCCAGGTAGCAGGCATGAGCCAGGAGGACGGTCCCAGTTTGGCTGCCAAACCCAGGAGCTTCTTTCTGGGAGCCAAACACCCCCTAAAACTCCCCTAGGAGGGCCCGTCTCCATCTCCCTGTGTGTACAAACAACAGTGAGGCACCCATTCGGGGCGAGCGGCTGTTTATAGATACCACACGCCGCCCAGCTCGTGTTGCTGCTCAAGCTCTGAGGTCAACTCGTCCCTGCTTGTCCCCTAACGATTCGTGACTTGCATTAAACACACCTGCAGCGTCGGGGGGACGCACACAAACACACGTGGCTCCTCCATCATCCCCTCGGGTGGTTTGCCCTATCGGCGGCGTCGCCAATCGCTCAGGGGACTCCCTGCTGCAGGATGCTGCGAGGAAAAACGTTTAGAAGTTATTTAAAAAACTCTTGATGGCTACAAAAATCCCCCAGCGCAGCTTAGGAAATCAGAGCCGTGAAGGCAAGGAGCAGCGGCGATGCCCTGCCGTTGATCCTCCGTGATGGGACGTGTCTGCTCTGCCCCAAAACGCCACCCTTGGGTGCCCAGGGCACCCCAGCACCCAGGGAGCCCCCCGCCGCGGTGACAGACTGCCATCTAGTGGTGACAGGCTGGAGGGTGGCCCTCATCCATGAAGTCCTAGCAAAAGGAGGAGCAAACCCCCCCCTTTTCTCCCCAAAACCCGGCTGGTTTCGCACGGGGGAGATTCCCCTGCCAGGGAAGGGGCGAAGGGACAGCTTGGAGCCTTGGCACCAAAGAAACCCCGCAGCAGCTTGGCCCCACTGTGGGCTCATTTCACACAATCACAGAATCTTCTAGGTTGGAAGGGACCTTAAAGATCATCTTGTCAAACCCTTCAACCTAACTTGGACAAAAATAGACACCTGCACAACAAACAAAAAGCAACACCATCACTAAACCCTATCTCCCAGCACTACATCAACTCCTTTTTTGGACACCTCCAGGGATGGTGCCTCAACCACCTCCCTGGGCAGCCCATTCCAATGGCTGAGAACCCTTTCGGTGAAAACATTTTTCCTAATATCCAGCCTGGACTTCCCCTGGGGTAACTTGAGGCCATTTCCTCTCGTCCTGTCGCCTGTGACTTGGGAGAAGAGACCGACCCCCCCTGGCTACACCCTCCTTTCAGGGAGTTGGAGAGAGAAATAAGGTCTCCCCTCAGCCTCCTCTTCTCCAGGCTGAACACCCCCAGCTCCCTCAGCCTCTCCTCATCAGACTTGTGCTCCAGACCCCTCACCAGCTTTGTTGCCCTTTTTTGGGGCAGGCAGGGAAAGGGGTTGATAGGAAGAGTATTATGCTTTTTGGGCTGCCTGCACCAGCTCAAACTCACTGGTACCTTCCAGTGTCAGAAAATAGCCGCTTTCAAAGCTATGCAGGGCTCTTCGTGGCCTACACACCCACCTGAGGGGGTTTGTCCGGGCAACACTGTGGGAAATAAGCTAAGTTTTGCTTCAGCTAATTGATGTATCATTGTTAGTGTGATAGTACTAACAAAGAAGCCTTAGTAATAGTAGAGTCTAATAAATTGTATCCAATTAATCCCCAGAAATGCCCTTGGTCTGTCAAGGGATCCTTGTTCGCAGAGCGTTATCTAGGTGAAGAGAAACAGACTGGAACACGGCCTTCATCACAAAAACCCAAAGGGTAGGGGAGTATCAATAAGGCCAAAGAAACCAGACTGGTAAATCTGCCAAGTAGATGGTAGCAAAGACTCTGAAATAACGTGTAGCTTAATCAACTAATCCAAGGCGTGTTTAGGATAATGATTTCGTAGAATAGGTGTATGTGTGCCTTATATGGGAAAAAGTGCAAAATAAACCTGTAATAGGTCAAGCGGTCGGGAAGAATGTGAGCTCCGACTTCTCAGCCAATGAGAAGGGAGACAGAAACTCAAGCGGCCGGGATAAGGGTATAAAATACCTGAAAGCTGAAAGATCATCATGCATCTATTTTTGGTGCACCCGATTCAGCGCTGTTTCGTATTAATAAATTATTATTTTTTTAACCTTTGCTTTGGTGACTTTGTCCTCTTTAAATTCTAAGATGTGAGTCGGTGTTTCTCACACTCTCCTCATAAGACTTGTGCTCCAGACCCCTCACCATCTTTGTTGCCCTTCTTTGGGGCAGGCAGGGAAAGGGGTTGATAGGAATAGGAGTATTATGCTTTTTGGGCTGCCTGCACCACCTCAAACTCACTGGTACTTTCCAATACGTGCCAGAAAACAGCTGCTTTCAAAGCCATGCAGGGCTCTTCATGCCACCTTGGCCCTACACACCCACCTGAGGGGGTTTGTCCGGGCAACACCTATTGCTTTTGGCCTGTGCTGACCTCTTGGGACCCCAATGCGCCATCACGGTGGCTACCCAACACCTCGATCTGGAGGTGCGGGCAACCTTGGGGCGGGAACAGAAACCCTCAGGGGCATAGAGCGTGGCGGAAAAGGACCCTTTGCCCCTCACGGAGCCGCAGGGTCAGCCCCGGGG